GTTTAGATTATATTCTATATCCACAATAATATTTACCCACAATAGTGGGAGCAGAAGGGCTGAATAAGTAAAAAACAGTTTAGTTGACCTGACAGCATTCATTCTACACTTCAGTTTAAGAGAACGTCAACTGCTCTAGGACTTCCCTCCTCTTCTCACTTTCCCTTTTACACCAAAACAAAAATACAGGAGTGGGTGGTAAAAAACAAAAATGTGAGGCTCAGAGCAAGAAATGATGGCTCCTTTTATTCTTTCATCTTTAATCCCAACTAATATGTTTAAACAAACTGTCATGATCAAGGGTAGGTATCAACAATACGTGTATTATTTATGAGGTGGTTACAAAATAGGCTCTTGATAACTTAAATGTTTTGACTTTTAAAAAGAGATCTGTACTTATAGTCTGATGATTCCAAAATCTTGAATGATTCTGCCCAATAGAACCTTCTGTGATGGAAATGTTTTATATTAGCACTGCCCAATACAGTAGTCAACAGCCACATGCAGTTACTGAACACTTGAAACATGGAGTAACTGAGGAACCAAATTTTTTAACAAGCACATGTAGCTAATGACTACTATTACTAAACAGCACAGTTATGGAATTCTTAAACTGTAATGTCAAATCAACACTGGAAAGACTGATAGTGCTTCAGCTTCAAGTTAAATGTTAAAATTAAATTACATATTACAAATAAAAGACCCAAATCTGAAAACACCACAATGAAAAGAGGTGAGGCTACACCATGCTGATAAAATTTCATCCTTTTTCTACAGAAGCAGTACGTTTTATACTTCTGGAGTAGTGTATAAAACTACTGTGGTACACACACAATTTAATTCAATTAGTAATAAAACTAATAAAAGTACATAATATTATGCACTATTACATATTTTATACTATAGTTCTATATCATTAAAGTGCTATTAAATCCTTATTAGATAAAAATATTGACGTTTCTGTTCACATTGATAAATGTAGAAAACCTAAATGTCAAATATACAAAACTTGAACTAAGATATATTTAAAAGGAAGAGGACTATGACATCATTAGCATAGGGACAATATTGCCACATGGAAAGACAGGAAATTCTCAATGCAATAAATAAGATATATAAAGACCTATGTACGTCCGGGCACGGTGGCTCACGCCTATAATCCCAGCACTTTGGGAGGCCGAGGCGGGTAGATCATGAGGTCAAGAGCTCGAGACCATCTTGGTCAACATGGTGAGACCCCGTCTCTACTAAAAATACAAAAAATTAGCTGGGCATGGTGGCGCGTGCCTGTAATCCTAGCTACTCGGGAGGCTGAGGCAGGAGAATTGACTGAACCCAGGAGGCGGAGGTTGCGGTGAGCCGAGATCGCGCCATTGAACTAACTCCAGCCTGGGTCACAAGAGCAAAACTCCGTCTCAGGGAAAAAAAAAAAAAAAAAAAAAGACCTATGTACTTTGAAAAAGTAAATAACTCTAAATACTTTAACCATGCCACCCTGTGAAGTGTTTTAACTCAATTAAAATTCAATTCAAATAAAAAAATTAAAAATACCTTTCTTGGTCCTCCTCCACTCAAATTTCATGAACTAGCATATGAATGCCTCCTTTATGTCATGTGGGTCTTACCTTCTCTGCTGGGTTCTCAAACACCTAATGATTTCTACTTCTTTTCTTTCTGCCCCATTCCTCTCTTTACAGAGCCACAATTATAGGTACTTGATACTGCTAAATAAACTAACTTCCCCTAAGCTAGTTTATAAATAACTTAGTTTATAAGGAATAGTTTATAAACCAAATGCAAAGATTCCTCTTCCTAGCAACTAGACATCAAGGGTAGGGAAGACAAACCCAGAAGAGGCTAAGCATTCACTCATTTATCAAATTAATCTCTAAGTGTCAGGAACTGTTAGAGGAGCTGAAGCTTCCAAGATGAATAAGACATCTTTTGGCTACTCGTCTTAAAGAGTTTTGAAAACACTTAAAAAAAAAAAAAAAAAAAAAAAAAAAAGGTCAGGCTCAGTGGCTCACGCCTGTAATCCCAGCACTTTGGCAGGCAGAGGAGGGAGGATCACTTGAGCTCAGCAGTTTGAGACTAGTCTAGGCAACATAGTGAGACCTCATATCTACAATAAACAGAAAAATTAGCCAGGCCTGGTGGCGCACACCTGTAGTTCTAGCTATGCTACTCGGGATGCTGAGCCCGGGAGGTTGAGGCTGGCTGCCGTGAGCCGTGACTGAGCTACTGCACTACAGCCTGGGCAACAGCGAAGTTACCTTTTAAAAAAAAACAAGCCCATTCAAAACACCAAGAAGGCACTCCCAAACTTTATGATGTAAAGTCTTAAGTACTGAACTGAGAGTTACAGAAGTAGAATTTAATGCATTATTGTAATTATGTTCGTCTTCCCAAAACATACGCGCTTCACAAGAAACTGTCTTACTCAACTTTTTAGGCACTGCTCCTATATAACAGCAGGCACACGTATTTGTTGAGTAAGTGAAGGGACAAACTGGACTCTGTCCTTAAAGAAGAGCACTATATTTGAAGGAAAACGCTATTCATTTCAAGGACATGAAAAAGGTATCAGGATGATTCAAACTAGAGATGATCCTCAGCTGTCATCTTTAACTGAAAGAAGAAAAGGGCATGAGACTCGACCCTCTCACTGTTAATCAACCTGTGTTGAATAAAGAAGGAATCAGCGCCTCAGCTGGAACCCTCTCCGAGTTCGCCGCAGGTGGCAGAGGAGCTGGATGTCGTCTCCTCCCACCCAGAACAAGGGAGCTGGGCTACCGGGATGCAACAAGGAGAGCGCTTGAGGTCGAGGGAAAGGTTCTTAAAGGAAACCAGGCTCACCTCTGGGGCGTTTCTTGCGGCTGTCACCCCTCTCCCGCCACCTCTACACCTGCAGGGAAACCTCGGCATGATCCCTTGGGGCTCGGCCAGCTCCGTACTCCCCCCACTGCCCAGCTCTCCCCAGCACTTACTGCCAGAAGGGACCCTCCAGGCAGCAGCGACCCGCGCCCTGGCTGCCAGGCGCCAAAGAAAGCACTTGGAGGCTGCCCGCAGCTGTCAGGCTCCCCAGAACCTCTTGTTGTGTGTGCAGCTGCGCGCGGGAGCCCAGCTGCCCCATAGCTTCGGCGGGGACCCGCACCAACAGCATGGGTAGAACCTGCCCCATGACCGCAGTGCGGGCGGCAGCAGCACTCGCAACCTCCTCCTCTGCAGCCATCTTGGCCCGGCCGTTACTTCCGGTCACTTTAGCCGGAACCTGACTGCAATGGGCATGCGCGGTATACGCAGCGGCTCACGCTCGGTCTCGTGACTCCCGCAGGACCTCTCGGCTGTCTCTGGTCGGTTCCATTCCTTTCCTGTTGGGGGCGGTACCAGCCTCTCCAGCAAAGCCACATTTGCCCTGGCCCCAGTCCCAGTCTGCTTTACTAGCCTGGCATGCTTGAAGGCCTAGCTTAGCGGAGCAGGTCCTTGCAGCTGTTCTTGCTCTGCGGCATTACCCTTTGCCTTCTTGGTCCAACTGCCTCCTGCTCCCCTGGAACCCAGTTTCTGCCTCTTTTCTTACTGCGTTTGCTTACAGACTCTAGGGTGGTGCCATTTCCTTGGTAGAATGGACCAAGTCTTAAGCGTGGATCCATAATGAGGGTGTTGACCCGAAAGTTGAAGTCAAATAATGTCCCTTGTAACAGGAAAAGACACGGAGTCAGTAAGGGGTGAAGATGGTAGAGTTCCTGTCTGTTGTCTCAAGAGTATGATCCAAGATCATCAGCAGAGAAGGAGAGCAGCAAAGCAGCAAAGGCTTTGAGATGAGAAGAGGGGTTGTGTAGGCATTCGGAAAAGACTGCTAAAAGATAGCAGTACCTTCTTATCAACACATCATTTTCCATATTCAGAACATTTCAGCATAAATGAAACCTCTATTGACAGGCCTCTCTGGACCAGTCAATCTAAAGTCCCCTCTACTGCAGTCTCTCTTACCTAGTTTTGTTTTTAATCATAGTATTTATCACTACTTGTGATAAATACTATCTTCTGCCAGTTCCTGTCCAATCAAAATGTAAACTTCAAAAGAGCAGGGACTTTGTTGCTCACTACTGTCCCCGCTAGTACTTAAAACAGTGCCTATTTCATGAAAGGTACTCCAGCATTTGTTCATGAATGCATGATCTTATTTGTCAAAATGAAACCTTTTTTTTTTAAGGTGGAGTCTAGCTCTGTCACCCAGGCCTGAGTGCAGTGGCATGATCTCAGCTCCCTGCAACCTACGCCTTTCCTGCTCAAGCAATTTTCCTGCCTCAGTCTCCAGAGTAGCTGGGATTGCAGGCACAGGCCACAACTGGCTAATTTTTGTGTTTTAGTAGAGACAGGGTTTCACCATGGTGGCCAGGCTGGTTTTAAATTCCTGACCTCAGGTGATTTACTTGCCTCAGCCTCCCAAAGTGCTAAGATTATAGGCATGAGCCACTGCACCTGGCTGAAACCAAACATTTTCTATTACAATGGAGATATATTCAACCTTCTAAGCTCAGCTGAGGCTATTTTCTCTCTAGAAAAAATGGCAACATTAAAGCAATTTCTAAGGTTATACTTGTGTTAGCTACAACAAGGCCTTGTCCCTTAAAATCAGGACATTCTTTCCATGCCTGTAATCCCAGCACTTTGGGAGGCCAAGTAGAGAGAATCACTGGAATCCTCCCTGGGCAACACAGGGAGACCCTTGTCTCTCTAAAAAAATTAAAAAATTTAGTATTAGCTGGGTGTGGTGTCACATGTCTGTACTCCCAGCTATTCAGAAGTCTGGTAGGAGGATCACTTGATCCTGGAGGTCAATGCTGCAGTGAGTCATGATGGTGCCACTGCACTCGGGTGACCGAGTAAGACCCTGTCTTAAAAAAAAAAAAAAAAAAAAAAAGATATTCCTGGAGCACTCACACATAAGATAGCCTTCCTTGATTATAGGCCCTAACTTACAAGCAAGTTCCAACACATCATTCTCTTAGCTCTTTTATTATATCTTACTATGCCATGTCTTATTTTTAGGCACATCATTTAGGTTCTTGAAGAAAGGATATGAAAATGTTTGGGGACGGGTTCTCCAATATGTAAAGATGTAAGAAATGTCTTCAGACTCTCTGGATCCCTGTAAACATAGTCTATGCAGCCAGTGTCTGATGATTCGACTTCCAAGATATATGTATTCCAGAACAAACAGATCAGTAGATCCAGGCAAACCTATAAAGAGAACAGGTGTTAACTGCAAGCACAATTCTACTTTACAAGTATTTATATGATTTGATTAGTATCTGGCTTTTTCTAGCAATAATTCTGAGGACAGAGTTGACTATGCTATTCATGCTTATATCCTGGAATAGTTGTTCCTCAAGTATTTGTTGAATGAATGAATTCAGGTTCTCAAATTAATTCTTGCCCTCAAATAGCTTAGCACTATAAATGGCCAAAGCTCCTGGAATAAATTAAAAGGTTTGGCTGAAGACTTGGTCAAGACTGGTTACTCAGTAAATGTCAGTGTGTACAACTACTTCTACATGATCCTTTATTCTCATAATTTAAAAGAAGGAAGCAGTGAAGCAAGTAACAGAACATAGATTGGGCTTGAACAAGGGTCTCTGATTTTGTTTCTGCTATTACTTACTTCATCCTGGCCTCCAGCTGCTGAACCAATTGTTTGTCCACATGTTGACAGAACAGGGGAAGTAGGTTGCTGGAAAAAGCCAGGGGTTCTGCCAGAGAGGCTGCAGGCATCTGGGCTATCTCCCAGGCAATCAGAACCACCATGTCTGTCCTAGAGAGCATAAATACAAATATAAGCAAATAAATTTGCTTAGGAAACAGACTCAGGGCCAGGGTTTCTCATTACCTTTCCATTGCTACTACCATTGTCCCCCACCCCAGGTAGCACTTCAGAGGTAACATTTGCATGTTTGGTACATATGCTTAGTGCTTTACACATTTCCCTTCTTATTTAATTTTAAGAACTCTGAGGGGTTAATACCATCATCTCTAGCTTATAAAGAAACGAACTAGGAGAAGTGAAAGAATTTGCCCTAAAGATATATTGCTAGTAATGTGATACTGCCAGAATTCAAACCTAGGTGATTTTTTTTGAGATGAAGTTTCGTTCTTGTTCTTCAGGCTAGAGTGCAATGGCGGGATCTCTGCTTACTGCAACTTCTGCCTCCTGGGTTCAAGCAATTCTTCTGCCTCAGCCTCCCAAGTAGCTAGGATTACAGGTGCCTGCCACCACACCCAGCTAATTTTTGTATTTTTAGTAGAGACAGGGTTTCACCATGTTTGCCAGACTGGTCTCGAACTCCTGATCTCAGGTGATCTGCCTGTCTTGGCCTCCCAAAGTGCTGGGATTGCAGGTGTGAGCCACCGTACCTGGTCCAAACTCAAAGGTTGTCCCCGTAGGTACTGTGTTATATTGCCTCCCAGGAGAAACCGAAACTTTAGGGCACTATAGAATAAAAGCAGAACAGCTACAAGATGCTATTTCTTTCTTTATCCAACCTTCTCCTCAGTATTTGAAAATGCCTCAGAAAATACTTCATCTGGCTCAGTCTGCATATCCCAGGGGTACCAAAATAGTATTTACAAGGCCTTTATGATCTTACCAAGCTGTATGGTCAGTGTTGGGTTCCTCTACGGAAGAATCCAGCGATACCAGCTGCTCCCCATGACTCAGCAGGGCATAGAGCAAAGATATTCCAAACTGCAAATGACATACGTATATTCCAGGGCAAAATGAGTTCACTCTCAGCATTCGGTGCTTTCCTGACTCTTTTGTCTTCCCAGCTAAAGGGCAGGTTCACATTTAGAGATGGAGCGCAAAATACCCACAAGGGCTGTCAGGTTTTACACTGATGAGCCAAAGAACTCTGTAACCTTCCCATAGGAATCACTGCTTTGAACAGTCCAAAAGACACTATTGGAGAGCTGATTAAATGCATAATTCTTTGCTGGACTCGTAGGAGATTGGGAATGCATCCAGGAATCTGGGGCAGGTATTCTGTGAACCCGACTTTAAGAGGCACTACTTTAAAGCAAAGACCTTCAGTGTGGCATACACGAGATAATCCACTGTGATATTGGAAGACAGCATCATAACTTTGACATCTAGAGTCTCATTCTTTAAAATTTTCTATTTTTTATTATGTACCTATTGGCCAGGCATGGTGGCTCATGCCTGTAATCCCAGCACTTTTGGAGGCCAAGGCTGGCGGATCGCTTAAAGTTAAGAGTTCAAGACCAGCCTGGCCAATGTGGTGAAACTATGTCTCTACTAAAAATACAAAAATTAGCTGGGCATGGTGGTGTACACCTGTAATCCCAGCTACTTGGGAGGCTGAGGCATGAGAATCATTTGAACCTGGGAGGTGGAGGCAAGATCATGCCAGTGCACTCCAGCCTGGGTGACAGAGTGAGACTATCTAAAAAATAAATAAAAATAAAATATTATGTGCCTATTACTAGTGTGGCATGTATTTGATTTAAACACGTGGGTAGCAGTATAAACACGTGGGTTTAGAATTTTTTTTTTTTACTCAAAGAGGTACACACAAGTTTGGAGACATGCTCTAGAGGCTCACATCAGCAGCAATCAGGGAGCTTATTAGAAAAGAAGAGAAGGGGGATGGGCCTCACACTGGACCCAATGAATGACTGTGAGTGGGACCAAGGAGTGGGGTTTAGTAAGCTTGCCAGCTGATCCTATGCTTACTAGAAATTGAGAAACATTGCAGAGGATAAGATTTGTGGAGAAATGAAACTGTCCCCCAACTTATCTCTTATCAGTGATACCAACTTGAAAGCCATCTATGGAAAGACAAAAGCCTCCTAGACATGTTACCCGATTCTGAAGCACCACGGTGACTGGCTGCTCTGAGGAGCCAGGTGGTAACAGCATTAGTCCCTGAAGTCCTTGGAGGAGTTCATGGAGGGTCAGGTGACTGATACACTTGCCCAGAGGTTTGAACAACACTTGTAGGGCCTGCAAGAAGATCAGTAAGCACCTCCCAAATTCCACTACAACTTCACCTCCCCTTACCTTGCTTCCAGCCCCTTCCCTCCCTGTGCTGCCTTTGGCACCTTCTGGTGAGGTTACTTACTAGGCTTATCACCACTATGACTCTCCATCCCCAACTTTGACACCTTCAGTACCCACTTGTCCTAGGATGCCTTCTCTAAGCAAAGTAGATAGGGGTTCAACATTTATCAGGGCTTCCTAATCTTTTACTCAAACCTCCACAGCACACTCACACCTGTGCAACCATACACCTGTTTCTTTTTGTTCATCATACCTGAAGATGATTCACTGTTCCTATAGTAGTTTGTTCTGTAACTTCCTTGCCTGAGGGTGGCCAGGGCAGCATCCCTCACTGTGCCCAGCACTTTCTCTGGCACCTCTGGGGCATGTGGGGACTGGAGGGGAGGAACGACCCCTAACCTATTCAGGAGACCAGCCTCTTCTCCACTCAATGCCACAGTACCTGATCAGCCACATCCCTCCGGATCAGGAGGGGCAGATGGTGGGTGATAGCCAATAGAATGGCAACAGCCTGATCCTGGGGCAGGAAGGGGAGCAGCCGGGCCACCAGGGCCTTGCCCTTCCTCACAGAGAGCACCTGCAGGAAGCCATCTGCTGCCTCCCTACAAGGGAGAGAGGAGAGCATTTCCAGAGCTCTACATAGAGGAGAGGGCTACATGCCAGAAAGGAGAGGCAGAAGCAAGACAAATGTCTTTGCTGCTCCTTTCCTTCCTGGGCTGAGGTGGAACCCTCCCGCACTCACTCCACATTGTTCTGCTCCTGGGTCTTTAAGGTCTGGAAGAGCTTCTCAACCTGGTTGCTTTGGTTCTCAGAAAAGCAGGGCTTTGGAGGCCTATCCTTGCAGCCTTCCTCTATTTCTAGTAACTGAAGGAACATCTTGGAATTTGAGGGTGGAAAAAGAGGTAAATTTGGATAATATCTCATTCTCAAAGGTAACTTCAGAACTTGTCCCTAAGGAACTGATATCTCACCTTCTCAATCCGGTATAATACCCCAAGCCTCTGACTGCTTGCAACTCCTATATCCTAGGAGAAAAGAGTCACCAGCTATCAGCCACAGTGCCACAGCCCCCACCCAGGCCTCTGACTAGCTAGAGATTGAGCTGTAAAGGCTAGAAACAAGGTCTGATCACACTTCTTCCTCTCTCTTAGGTCACAGTCTTAACTCAAACACAAGAGTGTTCTAGACCCTTCTTCCAAAGGGGAGAGAAAAAGGTCTGGGAAGATAGTGCTCCCACCTGCTCTTGAGTTCCATGAGGTACAGCATCAATAGCTCGGCGAGGGCTGAAACATGTCGACACAGCTACCTGGCCAAGGGAACCCTCGATTCGGACCACTGCATGAGAGGAGTCAGGAGAGGCACATTTCTCTCCCCCTCCCATGCTCTGTCCACCCAGATGCCCAGCCCAAGTCAGCAGGTCAGCCCTGACCTTACCTGACTCATAAGCCTCTGCCTTCTGAATGTAAGGCGTTACCAGCCTGAGGGACTCAACCCCATTTCTTCGTCCAAGTAGCTCTTCATCTGCCTGCTTCTTCTCTAGCTTCTGGTAATATTCCTGAGAATGCATGAAATAGGAGAAAACAAACACCCTATCTTTTGAACTTAGAATTAAGTTTGCCATGTGCAGTCTCTTCTTTTAAATTTTTTTGTTTGTTTGCTTTTGTGTGTGTTATAAGTTTTGTTTGTTTGAGACAGGATCTCCCTCTATCACTCAGCTGGAGTGCAGTGGCACCATCTCTGGCTTACTGCAACCTCCTTGACTCAAGCGATCCTCCCACTTCAGCCTCCTCAGTAGCTGGGGCCACAGGTGTGTGCTACCATGCTTGACTAATTTTTGTATTTTTTGTAGAGATGAGATTTTACCATGTTTCCCAGGCTGGTCTTAAATTCCTGGACTCAAGCGATTGGCCCACTTTGGCCTCCCAAAGTGCTGAGATTATAGGCATGAGCCACTGTGCTCAGCTAAGTACAGCCTCTTAACACTCTTTCCTACAGTATCATTCCAGAAATCATGCTGGTAACTTAGGCCCTCCTTGCAGTTATTCTAAAGTGTCTTAAGCACCCTGGGCCCCACATCACCCATATTGGAATTCATATACCAAATACCTAAAGACTAGGTACCACCACCAAGTCTGATGAAAGGGCAGAGAGCAAAGTGGAGAGCCAGTGAGCAAGCCTGTTCCATCATCTGCAACCTTCCTGCATTCCTCATGTCCTAGTATACACACACTGCACACCACCTGTCTTCTCCACTTTCCCATTTAATCTTGTGGCTTCACCTGTGCTTTCTAAAAGTCAGTTACCTGATGGTATGAAGGCCATCCAGAGCTTGAAGCACAGAACTAGCCATAGGGATGTGTTTGTTGGTTGCCCTCTAGGCCAGTTTTATGCTTCTGTGGATTCGCTCAGCAGCTCTGACATTTTCTTAAAGTTGAGAAATCCTAAACTGAAATCACTGACAAGCCAACAAGGAATTGAAAAAGACTCCTTTGTTTAGAAGCAATGCCAAAAAGGCAAGAGTACAAAATGATTTCACTTTCAGTGATGCTAGCAGAAAAGGAGGGCTTTTGAAGCTTGGTGCAAAGAAAGGAAAAATATGTAATGTAAATGAGAAGGGGACAAGGGTGGGGTCCTGGATGGGAGGCTCACAGATACCATGGTAAAAGTGAAACAGCCAGGTGGGTGCAGTTGCTCAGGCCTGTCATCTAAGCACTTTGGGAGGCTGAGGCAGGTGGATCGCTTGAGGTCAGGAGTTCAAGACCAGCCTGGCCAACATGGTAAAATCCCATCTTTACTAAAAATACAAAAATTAGATGCTTATGGTAGTGCATGCCTATAATCCTAGCTACTTGGGAGTGTGAGGCAGGAGAATCACCTGAACCCAGGAGGTGGCAGTGAGCGGAGACCATGCCACCGTACTCCAGCCTGGATGACAGAGGGAGACTCTCAAAAAGAAAAAAAAAAAAAAAAAAAAAAAAAAAAAAAAAGGAGGTAGTTGAAACAGCCTTAGATAACTCAAAAACTTGTGGACAAAGACTTGTCCCATAAAGAAAGGCAGGAAGGAAACAAGGGAAAACGAGTGAACATGTCTGCTGTCGTTTGTTCAGTTAAACAAACTGAATCCCACTATTTATAACATCCCTGACATTTCTAAGCGTACAAAGGTGAGAAAGTCCATTATTTCCTGGGTGAACAGGGAAAATTCTTAGCCAAGAATGGAGACAAAACCTAAGTGTGTTTGGGGAACTGGAAATAATCTTAGTTGGCTGAAATGGAAGAGGATAGAGAGAAATGAGTTTGGGATGTCTACTTTAGAAATATGGCCCCTATCCTGTAGTGATTCTCTCTCCCACCTGAACAGACATGACCTCTATGAGCCAAAGAGGGGATCAGAGAGGGCCTGGGAGTCCAGATGCATTTGACCCAAGGTCAGAGGCTGGGCAGAGCACCGTGGGGCTCACCTGGTAGTAGTAGTCATCCAAGTGGGGCTTTGCACTCTGCAGCTGCACCATCTGCACTTTTATCACCCAGTCCTTCTCTTTTCTGGTCATGAGGTTAGCATAGGGATCTGGCTGCTGAGACCAAGGCTTCTTGGCTGGGGGACTTTAAGCCAGGGGGAAAAACCCTTTAGACTCACCCACCGCTGCCACTTCCCTGAGTGTGTGGTGAGCAGGAAGTGGGGCTTTCTGGGAAGGATGGAGCAAGCACAGAGGTGGGCAACAGTATGAGAGTTTTAACCATATGAGAGCTTTGAGAGCGCTGACTGGTCACAAGGGGAGACCTGGCAGGCAGATGGGCTCCCGTTAATCCTGCTCCTTGTCTGGGCTTTACCTTGGGGTTTGACTATGCTGCTGCTGCTGCTGCTGCTGCTGCTCTAAGATCCTTTGGTGCTGAGGATGGAGCTGGGTCAGATGACTGAGAAGATAAGAAGTAACTTGAGCTGGGTGGAAGGAAGCTCTCAGTTCTCTACCCCCTCCATTCGTTCAGCCCAGGTCAGCTCAGGTAGACATCTAAGTAATCTTATCTGTTTAGGTGCTTTCCCAAAGTTAGCCACATGGCACATCATGGTCTTAGAGCTGCAGGGCTCCCAAGCCCCTCCAACATCTATTTTCCTGCAATTTGGCTGCAGGAAATATTGGCACAATAGAAAACCTTTTGGCCTGGTCGTCAGGAGTTCTGAATCCTAGTCTCGGTTCCATCATGCTAGCTGACCACAAATAAATTTTTATTTTTAATTTTTTATTGAGACAGAGTATTGCTCTGTTACCCAGGCTGGAGTGCAGTGTCGCAATGTCAGTTCACTACAACCTCTGCCTCCCGGATTCAAGCGATCCTCCTGCCTCAGCCTCTCAAGTAGCTGGGATTACAGATGCCCACCCCAACACTTGGCTAATTTTTGTATTTTAAGTAGAGACAGAGTTTCACCATGTTGCCCAGGCTGGTCTGAAACTCCTGGCCTCAAGTGATCCTCCCACCTCTGCCTCCCATAGTGCTGGGATTACAGGCGTGAACCACAGCACCCAGCTTTAAATAAAAAAGTCTTTTCTTTTGATACGGAGTCTCTGTCTGTTGCTAGGCTGGAGTACAGTGGTGCAATCTAGGCTCAGTGCAACTTCCGCCTCCCGGTTCAAGAGATTCTCCTGCCTCAGCTTCCCAAGTAGCTGGGACTATAGGCGCCCATCACCATGCCCAGCTAATTTTTTTCTATTTTATAGATGGGGTTTCACCATGTTGCCCAGGTTGGTAAATAAATTTTTAATCTCCCTGGGTCTCCATTTGTGAAGGAGAAGGAATTAGACTATACCTCAGACTTCTGTTACTAGATTTCTGTGTTTTCCTGTGGCAACTGGTAGGCATGGCCCCCACCCCTCCTCAGCCAGCACCTCCTTAGACCTCTAGGGAGAACCTCAAACCAGTACCTGAACCTAGCAGGCCACGAGGTTAGCGGGCTGCAGAAGAGAGATGGGTCTGGTGGGGGCAGCCGAGGTCCAAAGTGCTGTGCTGGAGAGCTGGCGCTGGGAAATGTTGGCCAGAAAGGGATGGGCGACAGGTAGTCCAGGGTCTGAGAGAGGAATTAAGAGGTCTGGGAGAATGCCACCTCCACCAAAAGAATGCTGCTCTTGTTGCAAGGGCTCGGTTCCTTTCCTGCCTTTTCCCCTCAAGAAATTCACCCAGCATCATGCCATCTTGTGAGCCCCTTGAGACACCTTTGAGGGCACCAGACTATGGTTCCTGCCCTTGTTTCAACAGGGCTTGACTAGGAAGCAGCTCTTCATTCCCTGACTATGTGGGGTCTTGTGCTTTTTCTTCCTATTTGGAAAGTCAACACCTCTAACTCTCCTCTCTTCTCTTGGGCTGTTTGTCTTCAGCTGCTGGGGCAGTACTCATTTGTCTTTTTCTGACTCACTTGAAGCCCTCCTCAGAGCTGTAATTTCTTGTAGTTCTCCCTGCAGGATTTCCTGGTCCTTGAGTTCCTCTATCCCAGGCCATGTTCCCTTTACACAGTCAATTGAAGGGCAGATGCTCTTTCCAGCTAAGGGCTGGGCATCTGCTCAAAGATTGCCTAAGGCAGGAGTAGGGATCTAGTTTGTCCTTGTTCATGCAAATGGCCAGTTGTCCCAATACCACATATTAAGGTGTCTATCCATGCCCCTGGTTGGGCACATCACGTCTGTCATTTACCAAGCTCCTTTATGAAGGTGCAACCCCCACCTCCCACACCCATACCTCATTTTGGATGCATTAACTCCAGACCAGGGTTGAGAGTAGACTGAACACAATGGATAGAATCCTTACTACCCACAGTATGGAGACTGCAGCAGACTCACCTGCCGCAGAATGTGCAAGGAGGCAGGTGACATTCCCAGCACTCCAGGGGCCTTGACTCCAGGGGAGCTGAGCAGAACTCTCTGGAACAGGAGGGAAGAAAAACCAGGCTCGAATGGGCCCCTGTAGTGTCTTCTACATTTACCTGTGTTTTTGAAGAGGTGGGAGAAGGCAGCAAGACCAGCTATTCCAACACCCAGGGCAGTGGCAGCTTGGCCCTCCCTCAGATTCAAAGTCAACTGGACCAGGATCCCTCCTCCTCTCCTGGGAGTAATAAGACTAGTACAGTGATCTTCCCTTACTCATCAGAGATATGTCCCAAGACCCCCAAGGGATGCCTGAAACTGGATAATACTAACCCTGTGTGTAGTGCTTTTTCTTATATGCACATACCTATGATAATTTATATATTTAAAAAAATGTTTTTAGAGTCAGGGTCTTGCTCTGTCACCCAAGGTGGAGTACAGTGGCACAATCATAGCTCATGGCAGCTGATTCACATAACTTTTATTACAGTGTATTGTCATAATTGTTCTATTTTGATTATTGTTGTTAATTTCTTATTATGCCTAATTTAAAAATTAAACTGGCTAGGTACCGTGGTTCATATCTGTAATCCCAGCACTTGAGGGATTACAAGTGCTGGGATTATTGCTCTGCTACCCAGGCTGGCTGGAGTGCAGTGGTGCGATCTCAGCTCACTGAGACCTTGAGTTTATCTCAAACTCCTGGGCTCAAGCCATCCTCCTGCTTCAGACATCTAAGTAGCTGAGACTACAGGCATGTGCTACCATATCTATCTAATTTATTATTATTATTTTTTTTTTTTGTAGAGATAGGATCTTGCTCTGTTGTCCAGGTTGGTCTGGAACTCCTGGCCTCAAGCAATCCTCAAGTGCTGGGATTACAGATATGAGCCAGTGCACCTAGCCAGTTTTATTTATAAATTAGCTACAATAAGAAATGAACAACAATAAAAATAGAACATTAATATACTGTAATAAAAGTTATGTGAATGTCTCTCTTAAAATACCTTATTGTACTGTACTTGCCTGTTTTCAGACTATAGTGGACCAAGGGTAACTGAAATGGCAGAAAGTGAAATCATGCACTACTGTATCTTAGGAGTAGGTTGAAGGAAGGTGTGAGTCACTTCATACCTAGATGGGAGTCCTTGTCTCTCTCCACTAGTTACGGGATCCGAGGGAACAAATATCAGGAAAGGACTGCTAAGACAGGGGCCCAGGATCAGGCAAAGTTGACTCACCTTTAGCCCCAGTAGCAGGGCCACCGCCTGTGGGCGATGCACAGCTCTGCTAGGACCTGGTTTTAAAGTGAGAACAGCATCAGAAACAAAGTGGGAGACAGGAGGTAAGAGGGAAGGAGAGAGTCCCTAACTCAGGCTCAAGGCTTAAAAAGAGTGTTAATCCAGAATCTGTCTTAGAAAAGGGTGGAAAAGAGAAGAGGAATGTTTAGTGACAGCCGGTGAGACACAGACAGTTCAGGACAACCCTCTCCCTTTCCCTCCTGCCATGGTACCTGGGAGTTATGGACAATGCCAAGTATAGCTGGATCCCCAAGATCATTCTCTTCCTCCTCTTCCTCCTCCAGGTCTGGGGCCAGATCTGGGTCCAGATCCTCCTCTTTTTCCTCTTCCTCCCCGTCATTTTCTTCTTCTTCCAATTGGCCAGCAGACGCCAGCTCCTCCTCAGGAGCCAAAGGGCCACAGGTCTTACCTGGCCCTTGGTTTAAGTGTGGGCCAGAGGAGAAGGTAAGATGGGGGCTCAGGTATGAGTCTTGTCTAGAGAGGCTGCTACTCAGTAGCACTTCTGTTCATAAGCCATCTCCAGCACCACCTTTGAACATAACGCCTCCTGTTCTGTAGGTTTAACTCAGACTTCCTCCTCCCAAAGTGCCTGAACCATCCCCCACTAAGTCAAATGGAACCTGAGCCAGGTGTGGTAGCTTGTGCCCGTAGTCCCACCTACTCGGGAGGCCAAGGTGGGAAAATCACTTGGGCCCAGGAGTTTGAGATCAGCCTGGGCAACACAGTGAGACAGTTTCTAAATAAATAAATCAGAATTTAAAAAGCAAACAAAAGGAATCTGGCAGATGCCAAACACCTTCACTTTCCACATCCCCTCTTCCATTGCTTCATTGGGTTCTAGCACAGCCTTTTCCATCTGCTCTGCCCCACCCAACGCCCTTTCTGTTGCCTCTTTGAACAAGTTCCAGCTGGCCCAAGTCACTGCAATTTAACCCTACTGTGTGCCAGATACTTTATGTGCATATGTTCATTTAGCAGTCATATGAGGCTGTCTGGGTTGTTACTGGCAATTTTACTAGGTTGGTGAGAAAAATAAAGCCCAGAAGAGTGACCTCTCAGTCAACTACTGTAATATAATTAGCAAGTGAAAGAATTTGGAATAACTTCCAGTGACTCTGGGCATCCAAGCCCATATGTGAAACAGACAAGCAAGCTCCGCACGCTGGGGCATTTTATATAACACCCCTTATATGAGTGTTGATACCTTCAAGGCATTTCATCTTGGCAGGCTGCTGGACTTCATTCTTGGCTGTGTCCTCCAGTGAAAGAGCACTACCAGCCTCTGGAAGGTAAACCTGAGACAAGAAAGAGACCAAGAGGCACCGTCCTCAGTCAGTAAGGACGACATCGCACCCTAGCCATGGAATCCTCCCAGCAAGAAGATTAGAGAATTCTGGGCCATGGTATCAAGGAAAGAGACCCTGGAATGTCAGACTACCATAAACCCCCACCTTCCCAGCTCAGCTCAGCTCTAAGGAACTGTCCCATAAAGGGACATAAATGAGGAACAGGGCTAGGAGCTGAAAGAGAAGTACTTCCCAACAGACACCAACAATCACGTCCATGTGCGGTGATGCCTCGTTGCTGACACTCACCACCTGACTGTTGCCGTCCTTTCTGTTTAAGTTATCCATAGCAGCCTCAGCCAGGACCTGTTTGCTGCTCCTGGCTTTAAAAGTCCCAGCTCCTCTCCTGCTCACCCATTAAAGGGCCAGCATCCTCCAACCATTGGGGCCTGGTGGAAGTATGAGAACATAGTTTAAGATTTAAAAAATCCTTGAACAGAGAAAAGACATAAACTATATTTTTAGCCATCCATGGTTTTCAGTATAGTTTATTGGGATTGATATTTGGGGGCAGATATTTAAAAAGAGGATTCCTGTTTTCCACACTCTTCATTGGTACTTTGTGAGGTTGCATTTTATTTAATCCCTAGGTTTTGCTTTAACACAATTGGATAGGAAAGTCCTGGGTAGATCCTGGGGAGGATGCCTAGCAACCAAGTTCCCGGCGCTTCAGGGCAGTGTACTTGAAGCCTTCAAGTCCACCTGATGATGCTTGCCCTTCACTGGGTCATGTGAGCTTAAGTCAGCTACTCAGATCTGACTCATGAGGGACGCTTATGAATCTGAAAGTCAGATATTCATGGTGAAAACACTTTTGCATGAGATACACAATCTTACATCCTCTTGGCTGCTCTAATGGCAAACTGGACCAGAAGCTCAGGAGTAAAAACAAATCAACAACAACAAAAAACGAAAACATAGCCACCCAACACCCTCCCAAGCCTCATCCAACCCTCAAGCAGCCCTGGGTTCTATGCCCACATCCTGTGTTCAGCCGAAACCCACATGACTTTGTAAAACTTCTGAATAAAAATAAAAACTAAGTTAATTTCCCTACATCAAAAATGAAAGTTAGGACCCTCTTGTCATGGTGATGAGACCATGATTCTTGGTGCCTTTAAGAAAAATATTTCAGAAGTTTTACTGCAGGTCACAACTATATGGCTGGGGGAACAAATAAAGTAGCCTAAATGTTACTGAAAAACTTCTCATATATCTATCTGAATTGGGTTCTGGCTTTTTTTTTTTTTTTTTTGGTAGAGTCTCATTCTGTCGCCCAGGCTGGAGTGCAGTGGCATGATCTGGGCTCACTGAAGCTTCCACCTCCCAGGTTCTAGAGATTCTCCGGCCTCAGCCTCCCAAGTAGCTGGGATTACAGGTGGTTGCCACCATGCCTGGCTAAATTTTTGTATATATATTTTTTCAATAGAAACAGGATTTTGCCATGTTGGCCAGGCTTGTTTTAAACCCCTGACCTCAAGTAACCCACCCGCCTTGGCTTCCCAAAGTGCTGGGATTACAGGCATGAGTCACCACACCTGGCTGGGTTCTGGCCTTTTTGGTAATGTTATTCAGCTGTTTCTCTCAGGAACTTCCTAATAATGTACTTTGGCACTATTAACAAAAGGACCAAATAGTGAATTTCAGTGTTCCAGAAGTGATTCATTAGGTTGTTGCAGAGACTAGATCTTAAGAAGAAACTTGTTGCATGAAGATTTTCATTCAAGAGACTTCAGATATTGACTAGTACCAAAGCAGATGGCCTAGGGCTCAGTCTTTAAGATCACAGCCCCGCCCTAGCTGTTTGGAGTTTCACTTGGGACCTACTGTTTTGTATGAAGATCCCCTACCCTTATCTGAAGTCTCATATGTCTACTGATCTCCTAGATGTTCTAACTTTCCTGCCATCATTTAATTATGTTAAGTTTAAGCCAAGACTGTCCTAGGCTTGGGGTACGACAGTGAAGAAAACAGACACTTCCCACAGCCTGTTAGAGCTTCCCCTAGAATAAGAAGTACATACAGGTACCCAGGATTATTGGATCAGATTTTAAAAAGACATTAGAGTGGTTCATACCTGTAACCCAGCATTTTGGGAAGCTGAGGCAGGAGAATCACTCTAGCCCAGGAGTTCAAGACAAGCCTGGGGAATATAGTGAGACCCCATCTCCATTAAAATTTTTTTCTTAAAAAAAAAAAGGACATTAGAAATATTTACATATGCTACATAAAACACTCTTTATGGGGAGGTTTTTAATCCATTGTTTCGGGAATAGCGGTAGATCTAGTTTGGCTTTCAATTTCTTCTTGAGTTTTAAGTTATATATTTTCCAGGAATATGTCCATGTGTCCATTTCTTGTAAATTTTCAAATTTGTTGGCATAAAATTTTTCATAGTATGAGTATTTAAAAATCCATGCTATAACTGTACTTTGTCTCCCCCACCCTCTTTAAAAAATTTATTTATTTTGAGACAGAGTCTTGCCTGTCACCCAGGCTGGAGTACAGTGGCACGATCTCAGCTCACTGCAACCTTCACCTCCCATGTTCCTGTGATTCTCCTGCCTCAGCCTCTGGAGTAGCTGAGATTACAAGTGTGTACCACTATGCCTGGCCAATTTTTGTATTTTTTTAGTAGAGATGGGCTTTCACCATGTTGACCAGGCTGGTCTTGAACTCCTGGCTTCAAGTGATCCACCTGCCTCGGCCTCTGAGAGTGCTGTGATTACAGGCATGAGCCACTGCGCCTGGCCTTTTGTCTCCCTTTTTATTCCTATCATTATTCATCTCCTCTTTTGTTCTTCTTTACAGAGTTTGTCTATTTTATCAGTCTTCTTAAAGAACCATATATGTCAGGTTTTCTTCAGGAAATAGATGGTGTACTCAAACTGGATAATCTAATAAAGAGATATTTATAAAAGTATAGAAAGAGTATAGTGAAACCACAAGTAATAGCAGAATCCCCTGGGACTGGGACAAGAGGATGTAGCAGTCACCAGAACCTGGAGACAGAGAAGACTGCCTGGCTTCAGATTATGTCAGCATCTGTGCCATATGACTGCCAGTGTGGCAGCCCTCTCCTAAATAACCCTCTTTCCCTCTGGATCTGGGATCCGCTCCCTCCCCTTGCCCCTGAGGTCTGGGGATGGGAATGGCTCCCCACTCTTGCTAGTTCCAGGGTGCTTCACCATCCTTAATCAGTTTCCCTTCACCCTGTTCACACCTTGGTGAATATTCCCTTCTGGATATGCTTCTCAGTTACACCACTTGAATGTGCCATCTGCTTCCCATTGGGACCATGACTGACACCGCTCTGTCACCAGCCTGCTGAGCCATTCTTTTCTTTGTCCTTGTTCAGCTTCATTTCCATTCCATCCCTCTTCAGGGATTCTAAAAGATAGGCATTATCCTCCAGTCCTCCATGGAACTCATCTCTACTCTCAGCAGTCAACCTCACCTCTTATGTTATGGAGAAAGTAGAGGCCACTGGGGCTGATCCACTTCAATTCATACTTGGAGGAAATTATATCCAACCACAGGCCTCCTTGCCTTGCTTTCCCAGGTCAGGGGCCCTACTCTTCGTCAAGTCCAGGCTCTCTTCCTGGATGCTTGGCCCTTCATCCACTTCTCTCTGTGTCTTGAGCCTCTCTGTTTTCCCCTCTTTCTTTTTCTTAGAGTATAACATAGAAATGCATGCGTCCACTTCTTGGAGACAAATCTCTGTCTTGTTTTCATTTCTTATTTTTACTGCCCTTCATGTCTCTTCTACCCAACAAACCAAATATCTCCATTTCCTCATGTAATTCCTTTGACTGTTGCTTTCTGGCTTTTGACTCCATTATAGTGGTGGCAACAGGGACGTTAATACTGCTGATCATGTCCTCCTTGGATCTCTGTGCTCCACAGCTTTCCAACACTTGTCTCCTTGTTCTTTGAGTACCTCTTGGGCCATCTTTCTTTGGCCCCTTTCCCGCTCCCTTCATCTTGTCCCATCCCTTGAATATCTGCTTCCTCAGGCTACTTCTCTGTCCTCTATATATCAAAGATTCTGAATCTGAGGATCCCCTGAAATGGTGTATATGTTGGTGTGGTTTTCAAGATGTTCATTTTTCTGGAAAGAGCATCCATAGCTTTTATCACATTCTCAAAGGGATCAAGGACCCCCAAAGGTTAAATCGTCTGCACCCTGGCATCCCTGGGCAATCTCATCTCATGCTGATGATTTCCAAGTTCTTTTGTCAGATTGGATGCCTCCCAGATTACAATACCTCAGTGTTTCTCATGTCCCATTCTTTATATAAAGCATAAGGCCCTTTACAATCTCACCCTGACTCTCATAGAGGGCAACCAGTCTCCTATCTTAAAGTTCTCTGCCTTTTAGATTGAGTTTCAGAAATAGTAAACTGCTTTTAGCTGCAAGGGGAAATTGGGGTTCCATTTGATTCTTCTTTCATAATTGCTGCGCACCAGGTTGTCCCTACCCTGGAGACCTCTTGCCCTTGGTCTGAGAGCTACATTCAGTTGATGATTAAGGCAGCTTCCTGCCCAGCTCTGTCTTTTCAATGATATAGAAAGTATGTATCTTAGCAGGTAATATGCTGTGCATTATGTCATATAAGCAAAATGAAGTTACAGAGTAAGAGTATAATTGGAAGGTGATTTCAGAATTGTTTTTATTGAACTGCCTTATTCTAATATTCTGGTTATTCAAATGGGAAAAACAACCTCAGCTCAGGCTTCACCTGCTCCAGGAGGCCTTCTCAGATACTCTCGTCCCTTCCAGCCTGGGGCAGGCACCCTTATGTGTGCTCATTGATCCTTATGCCTTTTACTCATTGTACCTCCCACACTGTGCTGCCATGCTGTTTCTACATTTGACACTCCCACTTGCAAGCAGAAATAGTCTTCACTTTTGAGCCCCTAGCACTTGACACAGTCTCTGGAACAGAGTAGGTTCTCAGTAGATGTTAACTGAGCTGAACTGGAATAAAAAAATGATGGACCTTTCCTTGAGAGAGAGACTTCTTCAGGGGGGTTTCTTGCCAGCCACCTGGGTGTGTCCTACTCCAGCTCACTCCTCATGTTGTTCCCAAGAAATTTCATTCTAAGAAATAAACCAGAGTATGTAAGCCAGAAATCATAAAAGAAAAGATATACAGATTTCGCTAAAGAAAGTAAAACTGGCCGGGTACAGTGGCCCACACCTGTAATTCCAGCACTTTGGGAGGCCAAGGTGGGCGGATCACGAGGTCAAGAAATTGAGATTATCCTGGCCAACATGGTGAAACCGTGTCTCTACTAAAAATACAAAAATGAGATTGGTGTGGTGGTGGGTGCCTGTAGTCCCAGCTACTTGGGAAGCTGAGGCAGGAGAATGGCTTGAACCTGG